TATATATATATATATAGGTTTACGGTAAACTTTAAATGTGATGTGTGAAATGCAACCAGAGATGGAGCACAAGAGTTTAATAAGCGAGATCGCCAGGGGGAGACAAAATGAGTGTAGATGGACCAAAGTAACTTTTCAATAATTAATTAGCAAAGCTGACTAGATGCCATTACTGAAGGTGCTCCCCTTTTAGCATGAGAAATAGCGAACATTTTGACCATCACTATGTTCGTTCCTTTCTCGTTAAAAAACCGCAACCTTGTTCAGACCTATTTAAGCATTTTTCTAAAACATGATATCGATATTTTGCATTGTTCATCGGTGTCTTTCGTGTTGAAATATAAAAGTAGGTGGCTACATACGGCAGTAATGTATGTGAAAAAGATATGCAAAAAACGATGGTTGGAAGTGATTTTACATGCGATGGCCCATGAAGATAGAGGTTGAAATTTTTTTTGAAAAAACGTTTTACGCATTGGTCGTTGTCAGTTCGATCCTGAAGTGAATAGAAAGCTGTTTGTGTTTAAAACACATCTGTGAAAATACGATTAATATGCTTCTGCGGAAAACTGTCAATTGAAAGACACCTAAATATTTATTCCGATAATCACATACTAATAGCTAATCCGCGTATACACTAGTCCGTTCGCTAATATCTACATAATTGTTTGATAATCACTATGTAGTTACTAAATTAAAGTGTGTCAACTTTTGCCATCATTGTTGTTATTATAATATTATGTTATTGTAATTTGCGTGCTCAAAGCCGGTGCAACGCATTTTTGGGCAACTTACTGTTAACCGTTGTTTTGTGGTATGGTGAAAGCTTAAACTGGTAAATACAACAAGGTACTGATTGATAATCCCAGTGTTTTCCTATGTCAGCCTGCCTGGTCCGGTTCTTTTCGTTGGTTCCCCCTGAGTGACTGTTGAGGTATGATCGGCGCTTAATTTTGTATGAAATCTTGTTACGACTGTCAGGCGGATGCGTGAAGTCGGAGTCATGTATGGACCGCTGTTTAAGAGAATACACTATCCAACCACAAAAGAGCTAATGCGTCCAATGTGTATATTTTTTAGACGGTATGACTGCGCTTGACCGCTAATACGAATGTGTCTATTATATAAAAAGGATATAGAAAAAAGAAAAGTATAAACAATTATAGAGAGGTGTTATATGGTTTGTTCCGTGTGATTGGCACGATTATAAAATAACAAAAAGTCATTAATCCGCGAATCTTAGAGAGACTGTGGTTCCGTAAAACGATCAGAGAAAGAGATAAACGTCGAAGTCAACAAACATCCCGTGAGTGTATGACTAATTTACCGTCGATTCATTGACTCAACTGAAACCGAATGAGCTACCTATAATAAAAGGGAATAATTCACGTAAGCAAAAACACGTGATTTTGTTCGTGGTTATTATCCTTGTTGTGTCGTCTCTGTGATTATACGAAGCGCTGACGAAGATAAGATTATTTTGTTTAGAGCATGCAAAATGTCGTTCAAAAGTATTATTTAATTACATTCATTAGTGTTGCTTGCCTTAAAATTAACATAGTAAAAGCTAATTTGCGTAAAAGTAGAAAAGGAGATTCCTATTAAATGAGTCCGTTGGTTGTTTATAATTATATATATATCAATATTTGATTGATTGAATTGAGCAGTCATCAAAATAAACACTCTCAAGATATTTGAAGCTATTTTAGCTATAGTTAGAAAACCATGCAAAAGTTAGTTACGAACAGAACGCTTGGTGCTGTACTTTTTTTTTTCTGTATTCTGAATTACTTTCTAGCTTTTTATTTGATTCAGTATATTTGATATAAAATTATCTTAGATCATAAATATGACTTGATTTTAAATTATGGTTGAAAAAATGATAGTCACTACACGTTGTATGCAATTCAAACCCTATTGATTGCTTAAGAGAATTGACAGTAAAATATTAAATATCTAGAAATAGAATCGAATTGCTACAGTTTGGTCCTCTAGAGGTTTTGACCTACGAGTACAAAAGAGCGTTCGTCTCGAAAAGTGCTCTTTGAAAACCTTGATAAATTTGAAAGGAAGTAATTCCCTGTATGTAAACATGTGATAATATTGGTTATTTTAAAAAAAACATTTATGTTTAGCATAGGGAGGAATGTGTTTGAATATGCACGTGTCGTGGCTCCTAAGTAAGGCTTCACAGAAGCTTAAATAAATTAGTATCGGCTTGGGCATAGCCGATAGTCAGAAAGGCCGTTTCTTGCCAAACATGAAAATGTGGGTGGTTCGACCCCAGTTACTTTCAAGAAACACTTGAGTATGTCGGGGTGAAAATCGGTTGGTATGATCTGTGTAGTTTAAATTGGATAAATTAGACAATAGGTGCAGGCACTTACGACATCCTAAAATAGATTAGCCATCGTATCACGACGTCATGAAACAGAATTTTGAGTTCCATAGCCGTCAAGCTATCCCTAGGCAATTACGGAACACGTTCCCTTAGTTTAATCGCCTTGAGTTAAATCGATGAATAAATGACATGAATAAAGCCAAATAAAAAACGTTTCAAAAAACGTTTTATAAAAAGTTTCACGAAACAAAAATTACGTTAAGGCTGCGACTATCAAACCACTGTAAGTATAATAGCGCCATTGAGCTACGCATTAGATGAGAGATACTTGAGAACATCTTTTAATAGATCTTGTAACAAACATGATTTTATTAATTAATTATTAAAAATATATATAAAAATTTAACTAACTAATACCGGCGTCGCCAATAAAGATTGTACAGCAAGTGGAGCTCACAAAGAGCCCTCAGAAGACTCGTAGAGAGCGAAAAAAAATATATCTTACACCTCAGTCTGAAAAGAGACGCGTTGAGCCAGGTCAAAAAAGCACAAACCTAATAAAATTGGTTTTCAAAAAATGCACAAAGTTACTACCGTATGTGTAAGTGTGCATTTGAAATTATACCTAAATTATTGCGTATAGAAGTGACTCACTGTTGGGCTAAACTGTAAAATTATATAAACCGCGTTTCTGGTACATATATATCCGCGTAGGCTGCCTATTCCCACACGATACGTCAGGTTTACAGTGACCACAACAACTGGTTCAGTACTAGAATTGTACCAAACTAATACTTACATCTGATATGAAAAATTCTGGGAGAGCTTCTAATGTGCCAAGGTGGACTAAGAGCGGTTATATAAACGGACATAAACGACTTTTCTTTTTCACAGTAATTTAGTTCAAATATGCTATAGGGTGAGAAATACGAAGCAATGTATATTGAGACCTCGTCGTAAATGTGGCTGCTTTAGTGTCCCTCGTTTTGATTTTTTTGATGTATGTCGTTGTTCTAATATAAACGTCTATATTTCTAGCATAATTCTCTTCTCCTAAAAGGATACAACTTAACAGGAATGGCTTAGTGTATTGCATGAACTTTACCTACTTATACCAAAGAAGTGACCGTTGACTACGTGTATATACGCAATGCATAATTATCAGTGAAATAGCATTACTGATTGTACATGGTGAGTGGACCATTAAACTGACCCTATGAGGTATCTGCTACGGTTCAACTGGTGCCTATTAGAAGCTTTCAATATACCCGGGTGTTTCAAATTAGGCGCCCTCACGCAAACTGTCATTTTATATGAAGAGGAACATAATCACACTAAAAGGGTGTACTGCTCATTTCCCTTTTATTTTTTTGCTGCTTATGCTGATTGTTAGATTCTTCCTATTGTTCAATACTCCATGTGAAAACTTCTTCAGTCTTGTTAACTATCATTTAAATTTCATTTTAACCATTACAAGACAGAAGTACATCATTCTATTATAGTGTATGGTACAGTAGCAGCAGTCATTGCACTTCTGTGTTGTTGTCTATACAAAATTTTTGTACACCGGTCTAGGAGCAAGATGTTAATCAAGGAGAAAGTCGAGGCGAAACGATGGTGAACCATCGTTTACTTTTTTTATATGGCTGAACGAACTCCCGAGCGAGGGCCATTGACGGCGAATGCACCTGCTAAGGAGTGGCCGCCTACTCGTTCTGTCGAAAATCAAATGCAGAAGTCCGAAATACTCAGATAACATATGATTGTGCGGATGTGTCTATCGGGTTTTCGTCCTCTCGTCGCCTGCCTGTATAGTCCTCATACGGCCATCATGATGTGCTAATAATAATGGCCAAATTCCATGCTGGTTAGTTCTACACTTTGTTAAAAAAAAAAGAGCGAGCCAGACGATTAAAAGGTGCGACCGGTAAAGTCAGGCTTGCTAAAACAGTGAAACGGTAGCGCCAGCAATGCCAACGTAGTTTTTTCACGTGTCGACGTTCTGTCGTGATAAAACACTCAGCAATTTATTGACTCAGGACATGAGCGGGGTAGGTACTGGCGGCGTTGCGTTTATGTACTCCGTGCCCAACTGTTTGTAAATTATAACATTACAACCAATAGTAGTTGGCATCAAAATACCGCATGGAGCGATTGTTTTATATTATTTATAATCGGAGCTGTTGAGAATGGCAAACGTTCCAAAACAACTAATTCGTTCATGCATTCGAAGCAAGTCGGCCATATATAAGTACGACAGGAAAAAGGAAGACAAAATTCACATAAAATAGAGCTCAATTAGAACAGTTGAGGAAGAAGTCGGATTTTACCAGCATACTATTGGGTTCAGCTTCGAACGTACTTTTCCTAACCTATTACTAACTGTATTAATTCTTAACCTAAAGTAGTGCATTAATCATTTCTGTGACTGGCAATGCCAAGCGTGCCGTAGATTCGCACTTTCGCAACAACACATATTTATTTATGTAGCTCTCTTTTTACTCTCTAAGGTTGACGTTTAGTCTAATGGTTATAGTACTAATCTATATATCA